AACGAATAAAAAAAGAAAAAAAAAAAAAAAAGAAGAGAAATGTGTAAAACAATGCCGCACATAATGTTAATGCGTTATTGTATTCTTTACTCGTTCTTGTTGCCATTACTGCATTCATCACCAGAGATTTTTCTGAAAGCCTTTACCATTATGTCTCTCTAGCTGCTTCTGTTTGGAATTTTTGTTGTTTTTGTTGTCGTTACTGCTGGGCTGTGTTGTATTACAGGCAAGTGTTTTCCTCACGGTTTTCAAAATGCAATGCATCAAAACACACAATTCATAATTTACATAGAAATATCCTTCTCTTTCTTTTTCCCTCATCTTTTTTCGCATACTTGTTATTTAATTTTTTAATTACAGTAATAGCAGGATATGTTGCTGTAAGGACTTTCTTTTACAAAATGATTCTAATAATATACAATTCACTTACTTCTTAATCCTGCTTGTTATTAATTTTAAACTTATTATTACAGCAATTAACGTAAAGAAAAGATAAATCCTTTGTCTTCTCAGCTTTTCAGTAACAAATTCAATCAAAGTTAAAAAAAAAAAAAATCATTTTTTATTTGTCATCAGGCGAATTTTTAATGTCTAATAAAAGACACTACTGAGTCAAGATACTTGCACTCCATACCTCTTATATCTCATACAGGGGGAATGGGGCTAGGGCTAGGGCTAGGTCATATATTTATGCAACTTAACCGCACCTCATCGGTAATTGTACAAGTTCAAGGTCCTGCACCCCAATAACAACAACGACGGTTATTTATAAAGAGTTCCGTTCTCTGGAAATTTTAACTGGATTTTGAGCTTCACTTCACAAGCGATATTTGATCTCGTATGCGTTCTTTTATGTAAAATTTTGTGTCCGTAAACGTGGTATTAACGGGCGGACGGATGAAGATGCCCATGTTTTGCGAATTTTTTAGAAATTTTTTGTCTCTGTTATATGACTAGTCACTCGGCGGATGTCTTGCAATATGGTGATGGCCAGAAAGAAGTGCGAGAAGAGAGAGAGAGAGGGAGTGCAGCGGCTACAGCCTAATGTATGCGTTGGCAAGCGTTACGGCTTTGCCGACTGAGGGAATTCACCACTGTTGTGGTCAAGTATGGTCGCAAAGCGCACTGAAATTTGAATCGGCGAACATCTGCTCGTCAGTCAGACGCATCAAATGGCTTCACTATAACAGAGAGAAGAGAAGCATTGTTTTCAGAAAAGGTTACTGGAAGAGAAGGAGTGGCATGTCTAGATAGATATTTATATGGGCGACTAAATTTAACAAAAAAACGGACAGAATACTATTAACTCAGTAAATTAGATTCACAGTAGAGTGTAAGCGCAAGCACTTTCAAATTATAGAAGGGCTTGTAAGTTAAGGTGCACATTAAATATTTATGCGATAAGTCAATCGCACTTTGCCATAGTGAAATGTTTAAGTTCACATGAGGACACCTTTTAAAGAAGAAGAACGTAAGAACGATTTTTGCGTACCGGCCTGTTTAAGAAGATTTCAGAATAAGGCTAAAGCGGTGAAAAATTGTCAAAATTCCCTGGAGAGGAAGCAACAGTAAACCTGTAAGCTAAATTAAAGGAGGCACTGTAAGAATTGCGTGAACTTGCGTGACTGATCTTACGTCTTTCCCCTTAAGTGAGTATATCGAAGTATTCAACAAGGTTGAATAAGTTTTAATTTCAAGAAAGTATCTACGTGAAAATGAAGAAATGATGTGTTTTCATTATTTAAGGCGCAAACTTGACTAATCTGCGAGTAATTGACATCCAAAAGGTGCATCATATGGCGAAACATAAAACGGAAGATCAATTATTAAAATACGTTGCCAAAAAGTTTAGTGTTTGTCTTCTTCTATACGTTAGACAGGTTATAAGTTCCACTAAGGGGGAGAAAGCATTGGTTCTTAAGTCCATAATTACCAACTAACTAATCTAAGACTTTGTTTTGTTGCTATCAATTTAAAATATATCAAAAATCTGCTGCATAGAGAATAACTAACTCGGCCAAAGAACATTATGGATTTTGGCCGCATGTAATAAATTTCGTATGGTTCATGGCCCCCATGTTCCATCATTTGAATTGCTCGCATCTGTATTACTTATGGAATAATACTATAAAGGAAGAGATAACACTTGCAGACATAATGGAAATTATACGCAAACATAACATGACCGCAGCCAGCATGCAAGCATAGAATGCCCGTTAACCTACATATGCACATAGTCTTGTAAGCTCATTGTTATGCTACTCCCTGGTACGTAAAAACGTCGTTGTTTATGTTGAATAAAATAAAGAAATTTTTAGATCACAGTTTTACAGGAAAAATACTAACAACAATAAGAATAAAAATGAAAAGTTGATACTGTGAGTATTAACTAAAAGGAATTGGTTAACGTTTGACTAAACGCTTGTAAAGTGAATAGAAAGTGAAAAATTAAAAGTACGCATTAGGAATACGTTGGAGGCGTCAAAGATATTGAATCTTTTAGTCTGTCTCTATAGGAAAATAAAATTCAATTTCAATTAATTTAAATTTGTTGTCTTATGGCGCTTGTTGCATAAACATTTTCTCAATCTATCTATCTAATGTCTATCCAAGCATCCATCATGAACTACATAACGGTCCCACACATATAATGCATGTGGTGTACACTAAAAGCTTTAATATATGTAGAGAATATTTACTTAAGGACACCGCATGCACAAGGTTTCCTCGCCTCTCCATCTTGATGTGTTTTTTTTCCATTTCCATACACACGTATACATATATGGCCGTATTACTTACATAGGTAGACACATATATACATATATATATATATATATATATACACACACACACACTTTTAAATGACACAATTGTTGACATGAACATTATGAACATTATCCCATTGTTATCTTTGTTTACTGCCACGTTTGCATACTTGAATATGCAGATATTGTATTTTAGCTTATAATAAGATCTTAAGTGCACTATGAGCTACAGCAGAATGTTGATGTAAATATGCATGCTGTTGTCTATGTATGTTAGTATTTTGCAATTTGCTTTTAAATTAGATTTCATGTTTTATAATAGAAATTAAATATAACAGTATCTATAAAATGTAGAAAATTTATGATAGTTTATTAATTATCCTTTTCGTTTCATAAATGTGTGGTCCATAATGTAATTTGTCCGCAAATATGATATACATTTAAAATTTTAATTAACATCACTAATTTAATTTGTAAAACAACGTCATTCAAAATATTTGAATCTAAGACGAATACGTCTGAATCCAATCCTTTGGAAAACCATAATTTCGGACAGAGCGTGCGCTTTCTTTAATTATATTCACACTTCCTAAATTGTTACTTTTTTTTAATAAAGGACGCGCTGATGGTTGATTATTTTCACACTATCAAATCATGAAGTTATTATTTACTGTGTTAGTAGTAGAAATCTTTCACATCTATGTAGAGTTTTTTTCGCCGGCTTATGCGCGTTTTTGTCGATTCTTCGGCTTTTACTATGTCTATGAAGCAGTGATTTTTGGCCAATGGAGACCCATCATTAGGGAAATTAGGATTTGGATCTATCAATATGACCCCGAAATATGCATCATTCGGGTGGATATCGCGCAAAGCTTTTAATGAGCAATATTATTTGAGTGTCATGAAGACGGTTAAGACGGTGATTTTCATTTAGAAGAATTGGTAAAGATTTGTCAGTTTCTTAGAAGTTTCACTTTATTTTTTGATCACAATATATTTAAAATTCCAAAGGAAAAAAATTGCAATCGAAAGGTGAATGTTTAAAGTTAATTTTCTCGAATAGAATTTGTTAAGTCATTTATATTCCCACTGGGATCTTGAATAGCGTCTAAAACTTGGTTTGCTGCATTTAATTGTCCAGACTTGCACTCACATCTGATCTGGACATTTAGAAGCTTGTGGGCTTCTTAAAAAAAAATTAGAATTTAGGTTTCTTAAGATTATTTACGTCGTTGACTCTCTTTGACATGGTCTACGGCATGCGTACAGACAAACAAAGCGGCCCAAAGTGGTCGAAATTGTGGAAATAAAAAATAGATATAAAGTTCAGCTCGCGATAGCTAATATGTGGATTATGTAGAAATATGCAAAGTATGCATGTGTGTTTAAATTTATTCGACCATTCAATATATTCACCTCCAGTAAGTAAGCAAAACTTAGCAGTCGGAAAGCAGTCCAAAAGTTCAACAAATTTTTATAAAAATATATGTAAAAAAAGGATTCAGATATTAGATAATGTCCCCAACCGCTTCTCTAGGCACTGCACCTTGGCTAAGCTTACTCAATGTAACTATAATTATGATCTGTTTAACCCGCTCAGAGTTGTTTGCAAGAACCTAAATGATGTCTATCACTTATTCTCATTATCGGATTGTTTAAAGTACATTAAAGCAACATTGCTCGCATGCGCGCAATTTACCTATGTCGTACTTAAACTAGCTCTTAACCTTAAAATGTCACGATGAGTCGAAAATGAGTTGTTCTTAACTATTATCGGTTGCCAAGCTTATGAATATTTGCGATGGCTTAGGGGTTCATTCGCGATTTGGTCCTGTACGGGTTGTGGGTGTGGCTCTGTGGCTAGTTGTGTACATGCTTTTTTTGCTTTTTTTTCCTTCCTATTTGTTTTGTTGTACTTATACTAAGTTTTAATATTAATTAATTTAAGATTTACTTTAAGAGTTAATTGAGTCAGAATTTTTAGTTGAGTTTCTTGTATAAATGGAATAAATTAAATAAATAAAAAAAATAACGGAAAAGTTATTTCTTAACACTCTGTTCCTTAAGTAATGTTATAGCATCAAATACAAACTAACCGATACGTCTTGATCAATATTTTCAGGGGCGACGATTCAATGACGACTACATTCATCGAAATTGGGTGCGAATTATCTGGAGAAACGTATCTTTTACGCTTCACACTTAGGCAATAGTACGATGCAATTTATAACTTACCCGGTATATTGTTATTGTTGGCTTTTGTAGTCTTTGTTAATAGTAACAAGGTAAAAAGGATCCACAATAAAATTTGGAAAGATGGCAATTGCAGCCAATGGCATATATTTTGTTGTTGATGCTGCTGCGTTTCTTGTTGTCTTAGCACAAATATTTTGTCGTTTGTCGTCGTTGTTCTTTTACTGGGCACTCGCAATAATTTCGTATTCGTTGCTAAGCAATTAAGTTGAGATTTTATTGTTGTTGTTGGTGTTTCGGGTACTTCTACTGTGTTTGGTACACAAAACTTTAACGTCTCCAGTATCGTGGATGTTGTGAACGTTCTTGGGGTCGCTATTGATTTAATGCCTCTTCGTGTTGCGCTTATCGCTTTTGGTTTATTTGGTATTATATGCAGACGTCGTATTTGATAATCGCTAACATTTGTTATCGTTTTTACAGTGTTTGCAATATTTTGTTCTCTTGGTATTGTTGCTGTTGTTGTTGTTGTTGTTGTTGTTGTTGTTGTTTTTATTGATGTTAATTTAGATGTTGCTGTGTTTGTGGCGAACGATGATCGCGACCGGCTTAATGCCTGACACCACCGGTAAGACCCAGGGTCCGCACACACGCCCATGCCTCTGGTCCCATAGTCAATGCCGCTAACGGATCTTCCTCATTGCAGCGGCGTCATCTATAAAACAACAAAAAACAAAATAATTTAATCATAATTTACATGACTAAAAAAAGTTATGCAAAATGAAAATCACAAATATCGTGCATCGTCAAAAGGATATTTGTCAACGAAGCTGAAAACATTATAGTGAACCACTTCTCACCACTAAGTACCCTAAATAACTTCGTTTAATGCAGTCATTCATATAGCGACCTCTAAAAATAACGATATTATATATGAAAACCGTTCTTAACCGATTTTGTCCTTGCTGTTTTGGAGCGGCGGTCACCAAAACATCTCAAAATTTGCGACATTTAGGTTGAACACAAGAAAACACGGCCGACCGACAGACAGATAGACAAGCTTGGACCGAATCAGAAAATGATTCTGAATCGATTGGTATATTAAAAGCTGACTCTAAAATATACTTATAGAGTGTCATGCGCGAAAATAAAAAAAATGTGAAATTTGATAAAGCGTGAATTGCGAGAGCTACGGTGCCTGATATTAACAAAAATTAAATGTTGCCACGAAAATTACTGAGAAGAAAATGAGTTGAAAAATTATCTCAATGATGGATAACTTCTTCTTTACGAAATCTTAGAGGGGCGTGTTAAAATACTCGATATTGTGCGTGCAAGAGGAGCGTAACTTTATTACATCGAATCTTAAAACACGGAAGAAAATTTGCGAATCAATATCGTTCAAATGTCTAAAGAAATGCATGTTATGCAAATGAATGTTTCTTCTTGTATACATTTAACAGAATTTATTTTAATTTTGGGTAAATGTTCTATATGATGTAATCTTCAAATAGTCGATAACTGGCAGCGTCTGCTGTCTCCACTTTTCTCTTAATGATTTTAAGTAGAGCTCAGTGCAGGTGCACAGTGTGTGAAGATTTTTCTTTTTGGGACACTTTATTCATTCCCGATGAATTGCACAAAATCTTGAATTTGCCCCAACTAATTAACTACTTGTCAATTATCATCTAACATGAACATAAAGATTTTCTGACTTGTGGGTTCGAACATAGTAAAAATTCTTCTGCGGTTGCAGATTACTTTCCTGCCATAACGTATAATAATCTTATAATTCTATAAAGAGAGTAAGTAGACCTATAACCCAATTTGATTAACAGAATTGGGTCACTATTTCAATTGACAAAAATATAATTGTTACGAACTAAAATTTGACATTCACCGTAATCAAGAGCATATTACACAGAGTATACGTAAAACATCATATAAGTTGAAAGGAAACAGAATTCATAAGCCACAGGCACATGATACTCCTCTTCTCGACTGTGGCGACGTACAACGTACGAAACTTATGAGAGTACTTTAGACGAATTAAAAACGATCCTTAATTTTAATGCGCTTGTGTGGTTGATTTTCCATCTCTTTTTTTACTTCATTAATAAGAATTATTTGCAAATAAATAATTTGCCAATAATGAGCTTTGAATGAATATGTGTAGTCAGGTATAGCGTCCACTCTTACATATTATTTTTGTTTTCGTTGATTTATCCATTAACAGAGAGCTATCGAATTGCATTTACCGGTAAAATGATTTCCTTTTGCGGCTTATGTGGAAAATTTGGTCAAATATCTCGTCACCAACAGAAACAACTGTGTGCTGTTTGTGCATATTTTAATTTCGGTGGCAGATATGACGTCGCTACGGTCGCATAGAAAACATTTCTGTTTGTAAAATCACTTCATTAGTAAGGAAATCCTGATCAAAATTGTCATCGAAATGCATCAATTGAAAATGCCACTACCATGCCCAACAACGTTACAGTTATCAACATCATCGTTATCATTATTTTCATCACCATCATCAGTATCACCATCGCCATCGCCATCGCCATCGCCATTGCCACCACCACCGTCACTGTCATCAATGTTATCGTCATCATCACCAACGTACTCGTTGTTGTCATCATCAAATACAACCACATGGGGAAATTCACCTTTATATGTCGGTATATATATGCGTTCTTGTATATGAAAATTAACTATTTTTTCTTTTACTTATTCCTCCCTGCCATCGTGTTTACAGGTTTTGCCTCATGTGTTGAGTTTTAAAACCATTTCTGCCAAAATGTAGATTTCATCATAACAGCAGTAGAAGAGTTTGTATATACGTGCTGTTATACTGTAGGTATATATATATATATATATAGATATATAGATATGCACTTGTTTGTGATTCATGTCAATTTCTTTCCCAAAAGAATATAAAAGTTTTAGAATTTGCAAAAATTTTCAACATTTATTTGAGCTAAAGTTTTTAGTGCGGTACAAATACTTACATATATATACGTATATGCGCACAGACGCCTATTTATACAATAGCTGCAAACCGTAACCGTGATGGCAGGATGACAGGCAGACAAATGAATCAAATATGTATGTGCGAATAAGTGTGTGTGTGTGTGTGCGTGTGTGTGTGCGTGTATGTGTGTTTCTTGCTAAGTGAAATTTACACATTTCCTGCTATGAAACGATATTGATGTTTTTGTCAAAAGTTTCCACATCCTGCATACATTCACACAAAGACGCCAAATACCGAAACAACAAACTGTTTCAATAGTTTCTTTTGTCCCCTTTCTTTAACAAATAGCTCTTTAGAGAATATTTTACATAAGATTCTTTTCCAACCGTACTTAAACACTGACACACACACACAAACACAATTACGCAAAAAAGCACATCAAATTATTGTTGTTGTCTTTTTTACTTTTTCTATTTTGTTTAGCGTGATGCTATGTAAAGAAGTTGGCCATTGGAACGCGCAAAAGGAATTTCAATTTTAACAATTTATTACGAAAGCACGATTGTGTGTGTGTGTGTGTGTGTGTATGCATGCTTATTTGTTGTTTTGTATATAACCTAAGTGTTTATGAGTGAGCTCAGCTCGATCAAATATAGGTTGGTTTAATTCTATCCATGCATTCCGTTTTATTATAGCTTTTTGTCATTTTACTATTTCCGTTTCCGCTTTGGGAACTCCATTCGTTATGCATATAATGTCACACAGAATTTGAAATTCCTCAGCATATAATGTCGTTATTTTGAAACATGGTGCATACATCATGTATGCATTGTCCAGGTATGTACATATATAAAACTATATGTTTGTATGGCTATGTATATGTATGTATATATGTATGCTATATATGTGTGTGTGTATGCGTATCCGTATACATGTGGCTGTGTACATGGGCATACAGACACATTTTATACATGTATTATTGTTTTGTCCGATCCATTTGGTTGTTTTCATTTCCAGACAAGAGCCCGTTTATATATGAATTTTTGCATATAAGCATAAAATCTATTTGCAAGAGATGTTTATTTCATTTTAAATTCATGTAGAGTTAAGTTTTAGCAATATCCTACTGGTTGTGAATTTTCATTTATCAATAAAATTAACAAAAGCAAAATATTTTCACACAAAAATATTGTTGACTTGACGATATGAAAAATAGTGTATATAGAAGCAAAAAACAACAAAAAATATAAAACGCAATTAGTTAAAAACTTGTCACGAGTAATCAATTATTTACCGTAAACGGATTATTGCAAAATTTTTTATTAGGCAGTCTAAAACACTCTCTATGCCTTAAAAAAGTCAAATGCATATTTTATTATTATATTTTTGATTTAATCAATTCACATACAACGTACCTCTGTTATTACTAAGAATAGCTTTTTTAGGAAGGTATAAAAGTCAAGTATATATGTACTATAGTTCATGACGATTGAAACATTTATTTTTGGGGATGTGAATAGCTAGCAAATGATTTACACCTTCTCCCGATCTAATCATATCTATCAAATTTGATTTTCTCATCTCCCCTTTCCGTTTAAAGTGAAGTTAATAACTTCATAAGGACTAGTGTTAGGATTACTTGGATACTGGTAAGTTTTTTTTTTTGCTTCTTCTAATTTTTCTTTCATACTTTTCACGACGATTAGGAAGTGAGTGAGGTACTTATGCGAATGCAGACGGTGGAATCCTTCTACAGGTGACAGCAGACATAAGAAGTCCAAGACAAAAAGCCACATGTCTTAAAATTTATGGAGAAAAATAGATATTAGGAGAAGTCTCAAACCCCAGTGTCGTTTCTATGATCGCGAAGTTTTGCTAGCGTTTCATTCGTAGCCATTTTCGGCGAGATGCTATTTTGCATGTAACTAGAAGAACCTGGACGGAGTGCATGTAGCATCAGCTAAAAGGCGTTCAGGAGTCTGAGGACGACAATTATCGGATGTAGCAAATTCGATAAATATGATGTATTAAAAGACAAACACGGTTCTGGTCGCTTCTTTTAGACTCACAACCTGATGACATTTGCTACCCGGCTCTGTTGAAGGAACATTTTTATACTGGTGATCTAGAAGGAACCTCGAATATTTTACAGCTTTATTTTAGCATGTGAGCAATGAGTAAAAATCTGATAGTTTTTTCTTTTAAAAACAGGTTTTTTCAATTTTTGTTGTATCGTGCGAATGTATCTCGGTTGATTTCACATAACTAACACATAGCTATTACTTTAAAAACATGGTTTTATAGGTTTATTGCCGTTGATGGCATATTACATTTGTAGCACTGTCACGTATTTGCGTATAATTCTTATATATTTTAAGATATATTTATTACCGTCAGGAAAGAAAGAAAAGTGGTTCTTATTAATAAAATATTACGTTGCTTGTAAACAAATTTTGTGTTATTGGTGGATTAAACGATATCGATTCCTCACATGTCTTATTTCTCATAATATATAAATGAGTTCAATCCGTATATTAATTTTATTTGAGTTCAATCTTTACAAGATATCTGTGTTTGCAGATATAAAAGTAGGTATTGCTTATACACATATGTTTATACATGTGGATTTTTTTTTTTTTTGTGTCATTCCCAAACAAACAACAATACATTACTCAGATTCCTTCAAACAATATCATCATATTCAATGGATGAAAAGAAAAATAGATGTGCAATAAAAT